AATCAAAAATAATAATGCTTTATGTGTATCATTTTTACAGATATTATATGAAAAAATGTATACAATAATTAATAATTTACATTTATTTGGACTTATTATTATTCAAATAAATACAGCCACTGTTTATTCCTAAAAACTAGTAATATGTTTTTAATAAAAAATGATTTCAACTATGACAATAATGCAATTACGTCAGAAATATGTGCATACATTTGTAAATACCATATAAATAGAAACAAAATGTATAGATTCAATCTAAAATAATTTTATGTGTATTTCAAAATTAATACGACTTTTCATTGCACATATTCAACACTTGATAAATCTTTTAACTTCGTTGTGTTTGTCACATCATTAATAATTTTCGACTTCTCTTTCAATTTATCAAGAAAGGAAGAACTATGGTCACACTCATTTAGCATGTAACTGTTTAGAGAGGAAGTGTTACCAGATTGGTGCTCATCAAAGTGTTCAACTATACTCATATACAACACCACTACCACTATTGATGTATCTTTAATGATCTTTAACGAACGTCTGCAGTTGTCAGTCTAGAAGTGATGCTGATTTTATAGAAGAGACAGTGAAGAAATCGGTTGTCGAGAAGAAAGGGTGGTAACTTAATAACGGACAATTGGATATTCAGTTTAGTATATATCATACAACACAATAACACAATACAAACGGTTCAAAATGAAAGCTGCATTTTTGAATAGAAAGTAATGAGATAGAGACAGATTTCTATCTTCAACGCAAATACAATAAAATATTACACGTCAATTATTATGATCAAACGCTTTTCATTTTATCAATTGACAAACACATCATGCTTTTTAAACTTTACGAAAGGAAACAAAAAATAGATAAATATCGTCCAAATATATTAGTACATTTAATTTCCACACTTCTAAGGGATTACTCTAATATACTTCCAATTAAAATTTTGAGTGTGGAAAGCTTGATAAGAAAACTAAAATGCCAGCAAAAATAGAAAAATGTCGTTAAAGAGAAGAATTCTTTTTCATTAGAAAATCTCACATAATGGAATTTATAATGATAAGATCAAATTCCAGTAGTTCACACCATATACTACTAAATAAAAATAATTTCAATATGTTTTCACATTTATTTATTTAATCAACTTTGCTTTCAACCTAGAATAATTCTAAAAATGTGAAATCGTTTTAATAATACAAATACAATTTTACTCACTTTTAAAATAGGTTTTAACATTATATATACATATAACATGCTTGTATATAAATATTTTTTCTTTGAATAAACTAATTTAAAAAAATTAATGATTACTCAAATGTTATTAATTTGTCTAGTTACACAAATGATTTTTTAATATCTAAATATATTTGTTGAGTTGCGAAATTAAATAATACACAAAAGCTATCAAGTATACATCTTTTAAAATAAAAATGTCTATGATACATTTCACTATTTTGTCTAATTAGGTATTTACATTATTTTACTAGTCAATTAAAGATATAAAAATAATATGAGAACTATTAAATAAAATTTAAAAACTATACGTTTTAACTATGAAAATTAATACATCAAATTTTATAAATATTTTTTATTTTTTAGAAAAATATATGTACATGGTTAATACAATAATTGGATACAAAAATAAATACCCAGTTTACCTAAAATCTCTTAATTAAATATTTTTCTGGTATATTATTCATAATATCTCCTCATTTTTATATTTAACAATTAGAAATGTATTTTATTCTATTATCTGATATATTATGAGAATGCTAGAGAACTTGCAATACGTAATAATTTATAGAACACATCACACGCTGACAAGCGGCAATGAATCATCTGGATTTACTCAGATTAAATTCATTGGCAAAAAAATAAAAATTATAACCACGTGAGAAGCAAACACAAAGGTTACCCAGAACACCACGTCTTTTGTCAGTGTATTTTATGAGAAAGCTAAAGTGCCCGTAACGTGCAAAGCACGTAATTACTCGGCAACCGGAAAATCCTAGGGGTCACAAAGACGACTAAAAGCCAAGGCATGAAGAATTCCCCTATTGTGTACCTTAACCGCCTCTCGTGGTCATTACTTGTGAGTAGACTTTGCAGCCACAAAGGTCACGATGCCTGTAAAGCGTCATTATAAATATCCAAATCGTAAATTAAGCGAGCTTACAGCTGTACACAAACATGTGTTGAAACTTTATGTGTGTAAGTTAAACTTAGAAAATGCAATAATAATAATATTAATAAGTCATCTTTAAGCCAAACAGAAAGTATAGGCCCAGGTAAACAAATTAAATTTTAATTACTACTTAACCTATTTAATGATTAAGCTAATAATATGAATATGAGTAAACTTTTAAATTTCAATTCAGCAAATTTTTGTTTTTAAAAAGTTTTCTCTCGTGCTAACTATTTACATAATTAGATTATTTCTTATTTTATAAACTAGTTAAATTATGTATATTGCTATTAAAAAAAAAAACGTTGACGCCCCTATAAGTATATTAGGGATGATTGTAAAAAGTAATTATTAGCTAATAAATCAAGAAATATAAACTAAACAAATGCAAAGTTTTTTTTTTTCATTATTGTATTTACTTTGAGACTAATCGAGTGATTTATGATAAACCAATCGCTGTGTGTTTTTTGTTTGTATCATTTGCTAAAGTATTTTATTTAAAACTTTATTATTATTTATACAGAGACCTGAAGAAGTCTTGTAGCCGAAAGTAAAAGTAGTCATTTAATATTATTAACTAAGTTTAATGTCGTTCATTATCTAGACTATGTTTATTTTATTATATTTTAAAAAATAATACATACTATTTACATTTTCCTTGTATTCATACAAACTAAAAGGTGAGCATTGATGTGGGTTTAAAAAATGTTTATAACATAAATTAAAAAAATTTCCTATTCCTTAGTTGAAACTGATCTACTACATAATGCAACCCGCCTATGCATTAAAACATTTACCTTATGGCGAATAAAACGTAGTTTTTTGTTGACACTTAAAAATTATTTTATACCAAGCCGTCATGAACATTTGTTTTCGTTATAAATAATCCAACGATATTATTTGACATAGAATTAACGCAGTGTGGTTGAATTTCTTAGTTTTGGGGAATATTATTTTTGTAGCGAAGCAAGTAAAAGTAGAATAAGATTGTTCATATACCATAAAAATATAGATGTGACATTTTATCATATTTCAAATTTATTCAATAAATGAATTGTTCTTTACAGTAAGATTTTTCATAAATTTCCACACTTTTTCTTCAAAAATAAATTTCTAATATTCTAATGATAATAAATATTTCAGTTAATTTATTTTAGAAAAATGCTAATGTATATTATGTTGAACAATAATTTTAATAATAAAATCAAAGAGACGCTAGTTTGTTTAAGGATTTTTAATAATACAAAAAAGAATACTTGAAAAAGAGTAGTGTTGGTATTTTTATTTTTTGTAAGTTTTTGTTACATTATAACAGTTTTTTTATTATCATTATTATCAATGAGTATTTTTGTAATTAATCATCACACCGAGATATGCAATAATTCACGTTTGTCGTTTTGATTTTTTTTCGATTTGTTACCCGACAATAAAATATGGTAATAAAATAAAATTAGTAATGTTATTTTATAATCTCTCAATTGTGTGTATCTCTACTACCACGGTAACGTCACAATATAAAATCTAATATTTCTATAGTAATTTTATTCAAAGTTAAGTCACAAAATGACGTGAAAACAAAATTGGTAATAGATGCCCATACGGAAGAAAATACAGGGGTGACAACATGACCGACTAGTTAACCCTCATGACAAAACATAAAGACAAGATCGTATGTAACTTGAAATTTATAACAAAGAACATCAGATAACACTTTCTGTTACAGACTATAAAGAAAACTACATTCAAGCTCTATAAAACTTTTTAATTACATTGAAATCGCTGTTGTAAATCTATGTTTGTTCTTCTCTTTGACTAATGACCTTGATAATCTACTTATTCCTGTATTTACTCGAAAATCTTTCGTACAGTTATAATTAAATTTATTAGAAACTTATACTAGAAAATAAGCAAATTGTTTTGACTATTGAAAAAAACAATAGAATAAATGAAAAACTGTAATATTCAATAAATTGTTTTAGATTAGATTGTAAATAACGTTATAAAAATAGAGTATTTTGAGTATACTGAAAGTTTTCTTTTAGACATTAATGCAACTATATATATTTTCGATAACTTTCACGGTTACCAATATAGAATTTGGTTGAAATAATTTGATTTTTTCAATTTAACTATTAAAACCCAAGACACACCTATAACTATAAAGTATTTGAAAAGTCATGAATAACAATACAAAACACAATATTGAGCTTACATCTTCTTTCGACTATACGGAAAAGTTTTTCCACGCATAATAGAAAATATTTCATTTTGGAAAAGTTGTTTTCTTCTGTTATTAAATAGTGTATATTCCTTACCAAAATACTGCGCATATATAACTACCGTAAAAGCTCATTATTTGAAACATTTCCATGGAACCATAAGAAAAGATTTACTAATACTTAAACAAATTAAAAAAATGTGTTTGTCTAAAATAAATGTTGATTTAATTGTAATAATTTTTTAATGAGGCTCATATAAGAACAATCTAATAGTTCTAATTAAAAAATAATTAATATTACGATACTAATAATACCATAAAATAAGATAATATAAATACGATAAATATTCTAAATTGGTGAAAATGATAACACTTTTTTATTAAATAATTTTTTTTCTCCTGAAAAAAAAACTGAAAATTTGATTATGGCCCTTGTTTTATAATTGACTCAAATATGTTTTTTATTATAATTCTATACATTTTAAACATTTTTAATTAAATTAATAATGCTTTGAAGTAATTTCCAAAATACTTAAAACATAAGTAATTATTAATTTCAAAACCAAACGTCAACGAACTATAGAAAAATATAATAATTACCTTATGCCTATGATCTGATTTTCATAAAACAAGTCAATTGGATTCTGTAAAAAAATATATTTTTTAAATTAAATTTGAAATTTAACTTAATAAATTTTGTTAAAAGATAAATGAGATAACATTAATAATTTGTTAAATAATCAAATTAGGACAATTAGAAAATGTTTATATTGTAGTCGAAGTAAAAATAATAAATACAATCTTCGTATTTACAATGTTTAACTGTATTTCTGATTAAAACGGAAATGACTTAGTAAAATAATGTAATTAAAAATTAAAGTGAGAGTATATTAACTATTGCATTTGGATAGTGACACATTTATTTTACAATTAGAATTTCAATTTCGTGAAAATTCTAATTATTTTTACTATAAGAGTAAGGCTTTTACCATTAATTATGAACTTTGAATGTAAAGGTATTTAATTAGACACTAAAGCTTTTATCTTGGCTCTTCGGAGTTAAAACATAAAAAGAGAAACAAAATATAATTAAATCGCTCCGCTTTATAGTTAATTTTTTTGTTTACTTTAGGTTTTCCGACTTAAGCAAATTATACACGAGTGTTGTTAACATTTATTTATAAAAAACGAGCTTGAAAAATACCTATCATTCTTTGAAGCATCACTAGTGATTAAATTTCTCAAAAATAAGATGTTATCATTCATACAATTTTGTTTATATATTCATAGTGTATATGTCCGTCATATCTCGTGTCTGAAAACGTCACTGTCTCTTAACTGTACCTTATCAGTTTACAAGATGTAAGGTTGATGTATACGTGTGAGATTTAAATCGCAGAAAAACTTTGACGAGAAATCTAAAGTGAACTTTTCGATAGCGTTTCAAACCGTTTCCTATACAAAAATAACAAATTGTTTCTCGATTTCTGTTGACACTTAACCCCTTCCGCCATTTTACCGACCGTGACGAGGTTGCGACAACTACGATAAATAATCTATTTGAAAGTAGTATTCGACCGTGCACAAAATTTATTTTTTAATAGAATCTAAGCTGGTGACGCAGAAAAATCATATCTTTTGTAATATATCATACGCGTTTTATAGAATACGCGAAAAAGATATTGTTTATTAGAATGAACCAGCCAATAACCGAGTTAGTCGTTGGGGTTTTCGGTGATTATTTGTTGATCAAAACGAATCGCGGTATCAGGACCCATGGTCGATGAAGAATGGGAGGTGTAAAGAGATATGCAAAACCGACGTCCAACACCACCGGGGAGAGTTACAAAAGTCTAGTATATCATTCAGAGGCTTTCCCCTTCTGGCTTCACATCCTCGTCGACCGTCACCGAAATGACCCTAATAAAACCACATGAACGCGATATGCGAACACTATCGGAAACGATAAATATCCTATCACTGGTCGACAAACATACACGCGCACTGTGCTACACAGTTGTTAATGCTAAACGAGATCGTGGCTAATGATTAAAATACATTATTCCTCATTTTCACAAGTCATAATATCATTGTGATATAATCAACAGTGAATATAATGGTGTTGGACGCGGAAACAAAACACCATAACAGTAACCCTTTTAACAATTAAGTGTAAACGTTATTTACGTTGTTTCATTAACAAGACTAATTACATAACTAATAAATATTATTTCTAATATTTGAGTTTATAGTATTTTTCACTTTTCATTTAAACCTCGATTGTACTACCTTATATTGTATATTTTTTCATCGTGTAGAACTCCAAATGTGTAATAAAAGAAAAAAAGTTAATTTTTTGTTGATTATAATTTCTATTCAGGTAATTCTTTAAAGTGATATAAACAATTTTTGTAGTAAAAAAAGGAATTTTAAAATAATGTAGATAGAATAATTATAATGATAAAAATATATAATCGAATTAAACATTTTAAAACCATATAAAAATAAATATAAAATAATTATCTTAGATACAATAACTTTTACTTTTTTACTAGGAATAATACATGTTAAAAAATAAAATTATTTAAAAAAATATATTAAAAATAATATCTTAGGAAAGTTTTTTAGTATTAAGGAGTTAGGAAAATATGTTTACTGTTTGTTTACTTTAACGTCATTGTTAAAGAAATTCATGTGCAGTGACTTATAAGAAAATGTTAACTCTTGTTTACGAACTGAAAATGATATTGAAGGAAGTTTTTACGAACTAAAAGATTTGTTTTCAGAGTAATGTACAGCAATTAAAATTATTTTTATGAATAAAATAAATAAAAATACACACATTACGCTGGCAAATATAAAAAGTACAGTAACTTTTTATTTCAGCAGCCATAAAATAATCATATGTATCTAATTTTTTACTTAAAATAGATCAATATAATAAATAAAACAACAGTTTTGCATAATGTTTTCATCACACATTGAAATTTAATAATAACGAGTATACTAGATATAATAAAAGCTAAGTTAAATAGCTATTGTTCAACAATGAAAATTGTTATTCATCAAAGTTAAATATCAACAAACTTTCAGAATCCGATTATATTATTTTCACAAGTGACATAAGCCAATACTAATATATATTTGATAAACGACTTTGGACTTCACCCAACACTCTGTTCATGGCGCATATTGGCATGGCAAACTAACCATGTATCCAAAAGAATAACCGCAATAACAGTAGTAATCAATGGAAAACACCATGAAATGAGATTTATAATTTCAAAAGGTAATTCGAAACAAAATCGATACGTTACACATGCGACTGACACATGTGTACACAATTAAACATGAAAAATTGCACTTAACAATTTTTTTTTTTAACTCGTGTAGGAATGTGTTAATTTATTTTACAAAACCAATATTTATTTTTAGATATAACATATAATAGTTCATTTATCACATACAAAAAAAACTTTCCCATAATATTTAATGCAAATTATAAATAGTTAATAATTACCTTAACTGCAACAATTCAGGATTAATAATGACCAATTTTTATTTTTAACCCCATAATTTAAATTATTACTTATTTGCCTTATGAGATTTCTCTAATTAATAGTTCATTAAAAATTCATCTAACACCAAGAGTTTATAAACTTCATAATATCCTAATGTTGATTAAGAACCAATTATAAGTTATAGTAAACTCTTCAAACTGTAGTTGAATAATAGTGTGATTTATTTATTAGCTAGAACTGTATTTTATTTAAATAAAAACAATATAATATGTAATATTCATTAAAAAGAGAATTATAATTTCTTAAGTACATAAAAATAGAAAATATAAAAATTGTTTAAAAAAGTATTCAAAATATATTTTTTTTATGTGACATATAAATAAAATGTATAAGTATTACCCAGGCCTGGTTGGTATTGCCATTCTACCGAGAAAATATTGGTGGACCGCTATAACTTGTGGTTGATAAAACAAATTTTAATCCATTAAAAACGAAAAACACCAGTAATCCTTAGCTTCAATATATATTTGATCAAATTTTACCTTATAATTGACCAGTGATGTATGAAATCTCGGTGGACTAACATTTCACAATTCGAAACTAGTTTCACTCAAAAAATAAGTGTTAATAATTGTGTTGGCAAATGATTTCTAGTATAATTTCATGTTTCTAAAATATTTTTAAATTAAAAAATGACATACTATTAATAAAAATATTAATAATTGGTATTTACCAATTATATAATTTTTATATTATTCAATTATGATGATCAAAGATTTATTTTCTTTAATTTTTCCTCCATGCTATACAAAAACCATCTTAATATTAGTTGTGGTCATTTTATTATTTAAGAATTAAAAACTACTCGTAGAACTAATGCAACAAGTAGCAATTAATACTTTACTCTCTTATCATTAATAAATATGAAAAAATGTGACATTCTTTAGCAGTGTTATGCATGAAAATGATTGACTATTTATCATAGAAAATAATATATTTGATGTCACTACCCTATGTATAATGAACACTAAATAGTATCAATTAACAAAAATTAATTTAAAGTCAAAATGTATATTTTTAACATAATTTACAAATGAATTAAGAGTAATGATAATTTGTCTACACATATAGATACATTTTTAGTTTTTATGAAAGGATTGACTAAGGTAAAAAACATTCGTACAATTTAAAATTCAGAGGCAAAGTATCATAAATAAATAGCTACTTCTACACTTAAGTGTGCGTTAACCTAAATGGAAATGATGTGAAAAGTATATATGAGATATTATTTTATACTATATGTTTTCTTGGATACGCCCATCATGTTCGGAAAATCCTTAATAGATACCTTTTAATATTTACTTGTAAATAATTAGATGATAGAAAGTGATTAAATAATACAAGAAAAATTCGTATCAGAAATAAATAAATAATAGACACAAAGTTTCTAAAATTATATTTTTTATATTTATAATAGAATTCATTGATTTTATTTAAGTATAAAAATAATACTGTTCATAGACTAAGAAAATAGTCATATTAACAAATTCAGTGAATTTTCTTTAAAACATCTGTATGATAGTTAATAAGGAGTTTTCATAGTAGTACTTTTTTAAAACGTCGAACTTACAATTTTTATCAGTCAATGTGGCAGAAATTCATAATCTTGATTTGCACGGCTAACGAATTACACAATGACAAATATTGAGTTCATCCGTAAAATTAAAAGCAACCGAGTACCTAGTTTATATTAGTGTTCAAGTGCTTATCATTTACTTATACTTAATGGTTAATTCAAAATTTTATAATTGCTAGTAATTTCCATCGTCAGTTGTGTTTTGTTACTATTAAATACGTAGAACTGTATAAAGAAAAAGCGTGTTTTAATTTAATAAATATTGGTTACACTGTAAAATTAATTCTTAGGAGAATTTATATAATAGTAATTCGATGGACATTTAATTTTTAGAGGAGTTTACATATATACTCAGTCATACAAACGTTGTTTGTTAAACAGATTTCACAATACTTTACATAACACTAACTTACTATTCACGCCATACGCTTTAACAAATTTAAATAATACTTTTATATAATGCTATATTTAAAATTGTTCAAGTATA